AGTGCGTGACTGGCCAACACCAGACAATGTGGGAGAGTTAAGAAGTTTCCTGGGACTCGGTACTTACTACCGCAAGTTTGGGAAGGACTTTGCGAACTATAGCTGCTCCACTACATGATTTGTCTAAAAAAAAGACCAGAAGTTTCAGTGGACAGTTTCTTACCAGTATTCTTTCCAGACGTTGAAGGAAAATTTGGCTTCCACTCCGCTTTTAAAGCTTCCAAATCCCTCACTCCCATACATACTGGATTGTGATGCTAGTAATGTCGGAATTGGAGGAGTGCTGTCTCAGAAAGTGGGTGAAAATTAACATGTGGTGGCTTACTTCAGTAGGGTCCTGAGTAAACCAGAGAAGAACTATTGTGTAACACGAAGGGAACTCCTTGCTATAGTAAAGAGTCTGACATATTTCCATCCTTACATCTATGGGGCTGGGTTTACCATCAGGATAGACCATGCTGCATTACGCTGGTTAAGATTATTAAATAACCCAGAGGGACAACTGGCGCGTTGGGTCGGAAAGTTAGACCAGTATAATTATGATATTGAATACAGATAAGGAAAATCTCAGGGAAATGCCGACGGACTGAGCAGAAAACCCTGCAAAAATGACTGCAGGCATTGCTGCAAAAGAGAGGTTGAACTAACCAGGTGCCATTAAGCTAAAGTCAAAGTGACTGAAGGAGTTGATGATGTTGAAGTGGAACCAAGTGTAGATATTAAAGCAGAACAGGAGAAAGACCAAGATATGAAGCCAATAATTGATTTTCTACAAGCAAGTATTTTGCACCCTGCTTGGGAGAAGGTGTCTAGCTTAAGCTCTGTTACAAAGAACTATTGGGCACAATGGGACTAGTTGAAGCTTGAAGATGGTAGTCTTGTCCAGCGATGGGAAACTGCAGATGGGGAAAGTGACGTTCTGGCAAACAGTTATACCGAGAAAGTTACGGGAAGTTGTGCTGCGTCAATCCCATGCTAGTTTAACAGGAAGACATCTTGGAGTTAAGAAAACATTAAGTCATCTTCGGCAGAGAATTGACTGAATAGGTATGAGACAAGATGTGGAAGAAGGGTGCAGAACCTGCAGTACATGTTGTGCTAAAAGGGGACCCAAGCATAAGGGACGTGCTCCAATGAAGTTATATCAAGTTGGTGCACCAATGGAAAGAGTAGCCATTGACATTGCTGGTCCATTGCCCCAAACTCGTGCTGGAAACAAGTACATTTGTGTGGTGATGGATTATTTCACCAAGTGGACTGAGGCATATGCAATACCAAATCAGGAAGCTACAACTGTAGCTTCGGCTATTAGTGATTTCTTCTTCAGGTTTGGTATGCCATATGAACTGCATACCTATCAAGGCTGTAACGTTGAATCAGCTGTGTTCCATGAATGCTGCAAGTTGTTTGACATACGAAAGACCGGGACAACGCCACTTCATCCACAGTCTGATGGGATGGTAAAAAAAGTACAATTGGACACTGGGACAGGAATTGGCAAAGTTTTGTAATAGCCGCCAAGATGACTGAGATGTCTTACTCCCTCCACTGTTGATGGTCTATAGAACACCAGAGCATGGAGCCACTGGATACACTCCAGCAAAGCTGATGTTTGGTCGGGAACTTCGGTTGCCAGTGGACCTGATAACAGGACGCCCACCTTACGAAGAGTTGCCTGAAAATGTGCCAGAGTTCGGAAAAGCGTTATCTGAAACGATGGATGATATTCCTCATCAGGTGCGTTCAAATTTAAAAACGTCTGCTGATTCCATGAAGCTACATTATGATAAGAAATCTATTGAAGTCAGCTTTGTACCAGAAAACCAGGTGTGGTTGTATAATCCCAGAAAGACCAAAGGGAAGTTTCCTAAGTTGTCTTCTTCATGGGAAGGCCCATATGACATAGTGGATTGTCTCTCAGACATGACTTTCTGAATAAAATGTGGTAGGCGATGTAAGCCAAAGGTGGTGCATGCCAACAGGCTTTGTCGTTATCACGGTCCAGGACATTTCAGTTGGAACAAAGTGAACAACGGAACAAATGATGCTGCTGAAGACGTGTCACCTGAAAAAGCCACTGTTGAAGAAAAACTCTATCCGGTTTTGAGAAGGAAAACAGTGAAGCCGTTAATGAAGTTACTACCACTGATGTGACTGCTACCGATAAAGGGACATTTCCTGATGGAGCATATGAATCCCAAATGAAGCAGAAGCCAATGAGATGAAGACCAGTGCGAAAGAAGAAACATCCTGTAAAATTAAGATACTTTGTTGTATTTTAATTTGGTGTTGTAAGTTCTGTACATTTTAATTAAGTTATTGTTGATTATCTATTGGTTTAATGTAAGCGGCTATTGTTCGAGACGAACAATATTAAGGAAGGGGTAGTGTTACGACAGCGGAAATCACGTGTCGCTGGTGGCGCTGGTGGAGTTTCTCGAATGATCATGAATTTTCGGGGGAGTCCTAGGGCGTTCGAGACGCCCTATTCTTTAGTATATAAGACGGGCAGAGAAGCCAGTGATGAATGTATAGACAGATAATTAAAGAAATGAACAGTAGTTACGGTAATATAAAGTGTGTGTTTGTACTCGTCGATAGCGAAGTTATCGAGATTGTGAATCGCTGTGATTTATAGTGTGTATCGTAAAAGCTATTAAGTTTAAAGTGATGAGAAACGTACTGACTGTGGTTTCACTGTGTACTAAAA